TGCTCCATGGCTCCATTAACCCGGACGTGTTTGAATTAGCCGCTGAGTCGCAATCCATATGGTTTGTCGTTGGTTCTGCGCGAGATAACTTCGTCCATAGCATCACATTAGCGTCATTACCTCATTAGCCAACCAAGCCTTCCATCCCTCCGGGGTCGGTTAATTGGTACCAGACTTGTCTGGGAGGATAAAAACACTGACTTGTACATCGGCTGGCCCCCGCAAGTCATTGTATAGGCCACATCGCATTCAAACGCCACTACGAATGTACAAATGGAAGTAGAATGCGTGCCGCATCCCAAAAAGGGATTGATCAACGGCAAATGCTTTATCCTTTTATCCTTTGTATCCTAGTGCCATTGCTGCGCACTTTAGAGCCGCGACAAAGGCACAGCTGCGATACTCGCTGACTTCTCTATCCTCTTTACAGAAAGATTGTATGATACAATCTCATCAGGAGTTTTTGGTTTGATGTAAGATGGATCAAATTGCATGCAAATTTAGGTCAGACGGGATAATTTCATCTAAATCTGACTCAATGGATCACATCTGGCCAGTATTCACTCGGCCTTGAGTTCATTCTCGAAACTAGACCTTTCTCTGCTCATGGTTTTCTGGCAATTCAGGATAAAAACGGTCAATTCCGTGTAAGGTCAGTTAGTAAATTTTGTCTGTGACGGATTACGGTAGTACCTCCTCACTGGTTTCTCCCGAATCAAAGAGCAGTCCCAAATTCTAACCCAAATTTTTTGAAGAAGGTTCTCTGCTAAATAGCTCTCGATAGCCGTCTTCCACATCTATGTTTTCGCTCAAGTCAACGAACTCATTATACGAAATGTTCCTTGTTTCTAATAGAAGGGACGAGTGCACGGCGCACTCCGTTAGGAAAAAATTAGTTCTTTCTAGAAAATCGTTCACTCACCGAGGTAGTGTATTTGTTAAAGTGCACACTTCGCCATTTTGTCGACATCGACGTTCTTCGTGGGCGGTACGTCAGCCAAGGTCGTGCCCTTCAATATTCGAAATGAAAAATGAATTTAAAACTCGAAAATACGACCAATTCACGTTGTACATAAAAGGCAAGGGTTTGTGCTGGCGGCGCTGCCACCATGAATAAAGGAGATTAAATCTCAGATAGACTTTAACCAGTCGATCACAACCAACGACGCTAGCGAACGCTTCTTTTGAACGATTGGTTCGACAGCAGTCAATGGAATTCCTCCATTTCCCGCGGTTGAACGTGTCGTAGTTGCAGACTCAATAGCACACCTGACGACGGCAAAGAAGGAAAAATAGATGTAATTGGGCGTTTCCTAATGCTTCAATGCTATCCGATGGCGCTTTTTTACATGACCATTGAGTCTGCAATTACGGCTCTCGCCATCTTCGCTACTGCTCTAGGGTAGATTAAGTAGTCAGAGATTGTTTCCAATTATTTAATGGAGGCCGGATTTTCCCACTCAACCGTGGTTATCCAGCCCTTTGCGGATGTGTGCTTACCTTGTCGGTATCGCCGTTTCTGCTAGCTCTGTTCTGTAATCAGCCAGTGTGGTAGTAGTTGTAGCTTCAGTAGTTGTGAGTGCTGTTGTTGGAAGGACTATAAAATGATGCTTTCAAGTTCGTCAATTTTGTCAAAAATCGATTATCGATTACTAAATCGGGTCCCAAAAATATTTTTCAGTGTGGCAGGTTGCAAAGGAAATAACACCTTCAGTTGTTGTTGGAATCGTTTCGAAGGTGGCTGTCGTTGGAGGCTTCTTTAGATTGGGTCGTATGGATCAATGCATTTTGCCATTCCAGTAGACGCATTCTATCTGTAACAACGACTCTCAGGCATTCTACGGTATGGTGCTCGACTTCTGGGATAGCAAAACGCACATAGTTGCTTCTTCCTGAGTTGAGGCGCGATACGTGACAGTGGATCCTTGATGATCTTGTTGTGTTCCAGCACCGCTTCAATCACTTCCTGTAAAGAATGAAACTTTATTGATATCATTCAAACTACTGAAAACGAAACTGGAGGCAAAGTTTATATTGCTTTAGCTAACGTATTCTGACAACTTTCAGAATTAGGTGTCAAGCCGGTGGGCCCAAAAAAGAGGTATTTCGCCATAAACAAGTGCGGAAAGCTATGCTCTATAAAGCAATTTGCCTGTAAGCGAGTGATAAGGTGTGTGTTTTTGAGATTGCAGATTTCTTTATACAGAAATTAGCGGAGTGTGCAAAAGCAGCGACGGCGACAGACCAGAATCTCGTGACCACACAATCGTAAGGCAAAAAGCACCTTCGTAAAGGCGCCACGATAAATTCTTTTGGGAAGTCTTTGATCTTGCATTCATTCACAATGATCGCAAAGCCCCTCCTGCCCATACCTTTTCTCCCTCCTTCTATCCATCCCTTTTCTCCCCTATCTCCTGTCCTTTCTCTTTCCTTCCATCTCTCCTCTTCTGCACTCCCCTTCAGCTGCCTCCACCATGCAGAATGGGCTGATCTTGCTCGATCGGTGTTCAATAAGCTGGCAGTGTTATCATAATCATGACATTAGCATCACGAAATGTAGCCCTTCAAGCTCCCCGGTTCTGTTAGCGATTAGTCCGGACGGACAGAACGATCTACACGCAGGCAAACCGACACACAAATTAGGTGCCTTTTATATAATGATTAATAACACTAATAAAGGTTCATTTGATACTCAAAAATTTATTGCTTATCAAAACAGTAGTTCACTCGAATATTATTCCACTCGCTTCGTTTTGCTTGTTTTGGAGCTGTCCAGAAGAAATGTCAAGCAATTAAGTGGGGTCATCCCACAGGCAATTCTGGGAAGGTGCGAAGTGACCTGCCGTGCGCTACAGTAATCCGCTAATTACGCTACCGTACTCAGTTTCAAACTAAGTACCGCCACCCGGTCTGTGAGGCTAAGCCCGGACCTTGCCTTTAATTTACGATGCAGGCAACGGTACAGCCGAAAGCGCTCTTTCTTTCACGTTGACTTGTTAGATAAAGCATAATTTAAAACTTTCCCGCCTCCGCTTCCATGTGGATTTATCAGCCAGAGTGGCCTATTCGCTTGGAATATTCAAATTGAATGAATCAACCGTCTAGACAGTCATGGAGCGCTCTAGACGCGCATTCATACGGTGCTGAGCAGGTGTAACCGTCCGTTCGTATAATTCGGACGAGGGATCGCATTTGTGATCTCATGAAGGGGGGGGGGTTGGACTTTGGGGTGGAGCGAGGAGTGAGGTAAGGATCTTCGGTGCAGTGCAAACAGAGGTCGTTAAAAGGGGTTGCTAAGTAGACGGGTTTTCTGACGAGACTGGTGAAAATTCTACGAGAGTAAGGTAAAATGAATTAGACAAGATTGGTGGAATTTGGCGAAGTTGGACAGCGTCGACTTGTCGGAGAATGGTGGCGGTTGGGGTAGGGAGAAGAGGGTTCGCATTGGGGGAGCCTAACATGTCTCATGGTGGTGGTGCAGGGTCGCGTCGGGACGCTCTAAAGGAGGGGGGGGGGCAGGGTCGCAAAATCTCCACAAAAGTGCGAACGCGGCGGTTGGCCCTGGTTCCAAGACTTTATGTGCTGCATAAAATATTCATTATCGGGATGTGCACAGCTAAGGGCATCGCGCTCCATAACTCCGTGAGGTGCAGACTGCAGCCAAGGTTCACTTGTTCACTAATTTTGTGAAGGAGTTGCATAGCACATATCACTGGAGAGAGAGACGTCTAGGTCAAGCAAAAGGTACATTGACAGCTGACCCACCTTGACACCTTCAAACGTTTCCACAGCTGTTGGAATCAATTCCTTTTTGTGGAGGATGAATCCGTTCGATACTGAAAAGTCAGCGAATTATTGATTGGTTGGTGCGCGCGTGAAACGCGCGCAAAATGCAAACCCGTACGCTCATATTCCGGTCTCAATTCCACCAAGTAGACGTATTTGATCCCGTTCGATTTTGCCCAATCATCCTGAACCGCCGGAAGCCGGTGCTGTGAAATGAAAATCAATGTGTGGGAAACTCGTCCAACAAAACAAACGGATAACTAACACAATGTATCGGCTCCTGTTCCCATACGATATTCAGTGCCATACTGGCGGTGTAGGCGATTGATGGCTCGACGAGCGGTTCGTCTCTGAAGAGCAAAAATTGTCCCACGGAGTAGTTGGGTGAGTCAAGTTGTCCCACATGGGCGGAGTTTCCCATAACCTACTTACCAGTTCACTGATGTCTTCTGGATAGTTCTGTTGAGCATGACTGTATGGGTAAATCCACAACTGTGCGTAAGAATGAAGTGTGATGAATCCGTCAACCTTTCCACGTAACTCGTCCGAATTCAAATAATCGCGCACGGCACTGAAACACGTCCATTTTGGCAAAATGTAGATTGGGTAGGGGCGGTACTATACCGTGATTCTGGCTCACTGAATACGTGATCGCCGTGATAGATATTTGAACATGGTTCGTACGACGAGCCGGATTCTTAACAAAAATGTCTACATTTTTTCTAGAAAGGTAAGATGCTCACCTTCGTTGGTTCCATGGCAAAATGTGGCCAAACTTGAAGCTTGGAGAGGCTAGGATTTTTGCTCAACTAAGACTTAAGGGCAGTGGACAGCGCATAAAGGAACCGCTGAGGTATGCGGGCAAACGTCCGGGTCCACCCACAAGGGTCAGCAGGTATTCAGACAACGCTACTGTGAAGGTCGAATTTCTTACAGCGGCTGAATTGGGATGGACACGATATAGTGGTCAAAATGCCTTGATAGAGGGAAACCGATTCGATTAAGCAGGAGCGATGTGGCGGTCAAACAGGATAGGGCTACAAAAACATAAGGGCCTGAAGATGCGCCCCCCAATGACGCGTGATTCTGGCTTACCCATATGCGTAGTCTCACCTACCTCGTCTTTTCCCACGCGGTTCTACCCTTTTCGATCGTTTTTCGTCGTCAGGCGATCTATCACTTTTACTTCCATTTTTTCGCCGACAAACACGAATGACCGTAATCTCTGCCTTTGAATAATATGTAACTAACGAACCAGCCCAGTGGAATTTGAAGTTGCGATTCAAGGTCCACGCCTTGACAGCACTTCTCTCCACCCCATAGTGAACGATTGCATCTTTCTGGAGAGCGATTCTTACGCCACAGACGGACCTAAAGGCACAGTGTTCCTAGATCATGTCAAAGAATTTCGAAGTTCTATAGAAGAAATAGTTAATTGATCGATAAGTATCACTTACACTTGGATTCGGTGATGACCTTCGTGTATTCGTAGCCGTCCGGATTCAGACACGGCAGAACGTAGAAGTTTAGACTGTTCACATAGTGTGTGATCGTTTCATCCTTACCGTAACCGGATACAGCTAATCGGGACCGTAAACGTAAGTGGGCAGAGCTTGCACGTAATCTCGATTGCTATTGGTTGGTGCCCAAAGCCCCTTTAAATTCTCCTATTGCCTTGATTCGTGAATTTTTCCCAACCAAACTCCTTTGAGCGAATAAAGTCCAGCGCAGACTCCCAGATGGGGTCCTAGGACGAAATCCTGAATAGTCCAACGAACCTGATTGATAAAATAGAGAGCGGTGTGACTGCTTGCCCATTCTCTTGCATGAATATTACCGTCCACCCAGATCGCCTCGCTTATCTGTCGATGATATCGGATAACCGATCTAAAATGATACCACCATGGCACGCAGTCGTTTGGAGTTTGCTGCAAATCGTTGAGGGACCCACCTTCATGCCTTCAATCGGCCGGCCTTCATGTGTGGTACCCAATCGGACAATTTTCGTGATATTTGGATAGTAGAACTCAATCGTACGCATATATTTCATCATGTCTGCATAGGATGCGTAGTCACCGAAGGAATATTTAGCCTTTTTGAGCTTTCCCACGCGAGACTGATCACCATCGGCTGAAAAGCGGCGTTGAGTTTATTATATCGAGTTACGCGTATTGGTAGTCCTTCTACTTCTAGTAGATAGGCTGAGTCTTTAGAACCCGATTTCTTCAATAATTCAAGTCTCAGTGAATATTGTGCTAATTCTATACTGCCCGTTGATGCGAAAGCAGCCGACATGGAACACCGAATTCTTCCTACTCAGAATGAAAATCAATACAACATGTTATCACTGGTATGCACGAATAAGTAAATAAGGAGCTGCTTGTGTTTCTAGGATGCGTTGCTTGTCATCTGGTTATTCCTTATGCGCCAATGTTTCATTAACATGTGGTTTAGCAGGTGAATAAATTGAATCAAATGGTTTCGGACTATCAGAGAAGTCACACGAAGACAACTCGCCCTTCATTGTCATGTCTCTTTTTGTAACTCGATGAAATCTGAAAAGCTTGAGAAGTTTCCCAAAGGCGTCGTTCGATCATTCTGGTCCTTCTTCGACAACGCGTAAAACTCCACAAAGTCCAAGGCATAGCAAAAGTTGTAACATTCCCTTCCCAATTTAATCTAAAGGTAAGGGGGAGAGCATTTTCACGGGCGTATACGGACAGATTCCTTTTTCAGGCTGGTCTTTTTTTTCTAAGTCAGCGCCTCACCCGTCAACTTCCGATGACCTTTTATACACTAATTTGATTCCGGGGCTTGCCTTCAAGAATGAATATATTTTGATTGATTGACTTACGCTCGCTATCGAGGATTGGGTCATCGTGAAATCGTCCTGAGCCCCTTGTTGTTGTCCGATTTGTTCGTTCATTTCTCATGATAAGCCTGGAATTCATTTCATAATTACTCTGTGTCGGCTGGACGCTGGAAGGCGTCATGTGCTCAGTACGTATGCATTGCAACGCCTTCTTTTTTGCGTTGAATTTCGCGCGCATGGCGCATTCTCAGATTATTCATCAATGCATATTGGCATTAAAATATCGTAACAAATGTTAGAAGCGTAGTTACGCCATTTAATAGCACCGTTGTCAATGTATTCTACCAATCCTCCTTCTAACCGTCACTTTCAAGAGTAATCACAGTAGCTTTGGCAAACAGCCAGATGGTTATGGGAATAGTCATCCTGGTTACTTTTGGTGCCCAATGAACTCACTTTTCCACATCTGGTACTCGAATATCGTACGTGATATTTGCTCTCCGAAAGCGACGTTCCATAGCAAGCGCATTCTTCGATGAGATCATTATGTCGGCAAAATCACCAAAATGATTTGGTTCTTTCCAGAAATCAACCTGAAATTGAGAAAAGTACGGTTATCAGACGTACCTCAGCTTTTCTCCATTTACGCATATAAAAAGACTAAAGGCAATGAACACGAGCACTGGAAGGTTTTGATAATTCCATGGAGTAGCGTTATTGGTCGGGCGTTAGGAGGCAGTCCGGACCACAACTCCCAGCGCGCTGAGGGGTCGGATAGCCGATAGCCTTCAATGACGTCATCGAGACCGCTCCGCCCTCCAGCTATCGTGTCCACTGCCTTTGAAAAAGGCCCAATACCTCTTCGTGATTTCAGCAGAAGCTACGGTACTATACTAATACTAAAGGGCGGAAGTGGTGTAGTGGCAAGTGGCACGCTTACCACGTCCGGGATCAAATCCTGGGTCGTGAGTCGCCCGGGCCAACCTTCCATCCCTCCGGGGTCGGTTAATTGGTACCAGACTTGTCTGGGAGGATAAAAACACTGACTTGTACATCGGCTGGCCCCCGCAAGTCATTGTATAGGCCACATCGCATTCAAACGCCACTACGAATGTACAAATGGAAGTAGAATGCGTGCCGCATCCCAAAAAGGGATTGATCAACGGCAAATGCTTTATCCTTTATCCTTATCAACTACGGTACTAAACGTGTTGCTGCCTTCTTGTGCTGCGCTGGTCAGATGCAGAACAGAAGTGATTGCGCGGTTGCGTTTGCTCAAATTCAAAATCTAATTTGTAGACACTTTGATGTAAAAAATAGTTGATTGTACAAAAAACAAGCGAAAATTGTAAAAAGGGCTTTTCGGAAAAGGCAATTTCCAGCGAAAACACTGACAAGGGAGGTCTTTCAGGACATGGAGCGCTTTTTCGAAATGGTTTTCTGCATGTTGTAGGGGCTCATGCGAGGAACACAGAACCATGATCCATTTTTCCTGAACGCCTCCAGGAATGTCAAAACAGTGGTGAAGAAATGGTCCAGAGTTCGATCCCCGGTGATGACTAATTTTTGCAATATAGTTTGGCGCCCCCAGATTGCCGCCAAATGGCGCCATCGTCGAGAATAGATGTCATTGTCGTGTTTTGCGGCAATTTTGGAGGCGCCAACATAAATTGCAAAAATTTGTCATCACGGAGGATCGAACTTTGGACCATTTCTTCCCCGCTGTTTTGACATTCCGGGGCGTTCAGGAAAAATGGACCATGGTTTGTGTTCCTCACATGAGCCTCTACAACATTCAGAAACCATTTTGAAAAAAAAACGCTCCATGTCCTGAAAGACCTCCCCCTTGTAAAGCTCTCGTACTGTCTGTGCGTTGCCTTGAAGGGAAAAAATGTTCAATGAATGCCGCCACTAATTTACTTCGCAATTCTTTTTTTTATAATCCACCCTTTCTTCTCTTTCATTTTGGGAAGATTTCACGAGATGAAAGAAATTTGTTTGATACTGGGATTTTCTGGATTATCATGGTTTTGGTGGCGTTTTGGAAATGCGAAAGGAAGCGAGAAGAACTGTGTCGGCCTGTCCTTTCCCCCAGGGTGAAAATCGTTTCGAGATAATGTTTGTGTCCTCACACCGCCGCTTCCGATACGTTCTCCTTTCGTCCCCCGGCCATCTATTTCAAAATTGTCACTTTCAGACGAAACAGAGGGTACCAGGGGGAATCTATTGCCTCGCGAATTTTCCGAGACTCAAACTCTGAACCTAAATCTGCCCAGGTGGGCTCCTCCTTCTATCTTTTAAGGATTATTT